AAAAAAAGATAAAATACAGAGTTAGGTGTATTTTCCAATAACATGATCATGGCTGGAAATGTTCCCAAGGTGATTTTATGTTAGTCGTGGGTGTTCATTGCTCAGATTTATATTCTGCATTTTCTCAAAAGGATTTCAGTCAGTTTGCTGTTTAAACAAGGCCTGAATAAAGACAATTAGCTATTAAAGTGGGCCCAGAGCTTTTTAGAGGAAGAAGGGAAAATCGGTCTTGTCAGGCACGGGGGGTAACATATTTCTTAAGTGGGGAGTCGGATTTGTCCCTGAGTCTCCTAGCAGCTTGGGTGAAAAGGGAAATGCTTTGGTTTCTATAGTCTTTACTTTCTGGCCAGAGAAAGCCTGGGGCCTGGCTCACGGCGGCGTCAGCTTCACCTGAGAACTTGTTAGGAATGAACACCTCGGGCCCCGCCCAGCCCGCTGGTTAGAGACTCGGGGGTGACTCTGAGGCACTCAGGGGTGAGAACCACGGGCTCAGGGATTCACATGCACAGATCTGCCCCAAACAGGGGGTTAGTGTTCGGGATGCTGCTCATAAAACAGCGGGGAGTCGGTGAGTGAAAGTGTTTTCCTCTGTGATCCCTACCAGCCTCTAATGAGGTTATTACAGTTTAATCATAGAGCCCTGGTGCCTCAGAAGACATCACTCACTTCTCATTAGTTCCCTGGCTCTGCAGGGGAGGCAGCGAGTGACTATGGCGGTGATCACGAGGTCCGGCTCCGCGCTGGCTCCTGGCGCAGTCAGGATCCCCCGCCACCCAGTAGGGTACAGAGGAGTCAGTCCTGTTCTATTGAGTGGAAATTCATGAATCAGTGAGCAAGAGGCAGAGCGGCCACTCAGCTGTGGGCCTGTTGCCTGGCAGATTGTAGTGCCCCTCGGCCAGTCCCCGGGGGGTGAGGGGTGGAGTGAGGAGGCTGGCGCTGTTGTTTACGGCCCCGAAGCGGTACCCGCGTGGGGGTGTCATTGCTACTGATTGGGGACGTCAGATCCTGTCAGCTCGGTGGCGTTGGCATGCCTGGGACCTGCGCTGTCCTGGGGATGGGTCCAATGCCTGCCCGTCCTGATCAATATGCTAATCAATACCTGGGCAATACCACGTAACGGCAAGGTAGAGGCTATGTAACAGGTAGGCTGAGCGAGCTGATTCACAGGGACACCTGCCACAGACCTCCGGGTTTTCACCCTGGGCACCAGCCCCGACGCCCGCCCGGTGCCCCTGCGGAAGGGCCGGGTGGGGCGTGGAGGGCTCCGTTTCATGAACGCCAGCCCTCATCGAGTGAATCGCCACCCCTTCACCTTGCCACCAGGGTGCTTTGTAATCAGCTCTCGAATGACACCCACTCTGCCCCGAGGTGGGTGCTCTGCGGCGATTAGGGGCTGGTGTTAGCTGTACCCAGGAGAGACTGCCGTCGGGAGCCGGCTGAACGGTGCTGTGAAACCTTAGACGTGATTTGAAGCGATAGCGGCGCTCAGCTGGCTGCGCGGCCTCTGCCATCTGTTTGGGTGATTAGGCTGGTCAATGCACAGGTGCAGCCCGGGGTGGCCGAGATTAAGCAGCTGCAGCCTGTGTGGACAGGGGAATGCCGTGGCCGGGGGACTGGCCAGGCGGGGAAGGGATGTTGCCATTTAACGATTTGTGCCACCTCAGATGTCAAGCGCCTGACCCGATTAATAGGGAAAATTGCAGAAGCACCGAATTCTTTGTGTTCCAGCCTCCTGGAAACCACCCACGCGTCCAGCGTGATTCCTCTGGTGCCTTCTGACTGTCTGGAGATGCCACTGGGGTGCATCTGAAAGTTCCTCTCCAGTGAGGTTAACACACGATGCCCCCAGGACCCTGGGCTCACAGTGACGCTGCTGGGCTCTCTTTTTTTCTCTCTGGGTGGGTAGATGTCAGGTCTCTTATCTCGTGGCTTGAAAACACAGGGTGTTTTCTCAAAATGTATATACACACTTTGAGTAAAGTATATGTATTTTATGAAGGCGGTGTTTATTAAAATGCATTTCACTTTCAAAATTGAGTTACCAGCTGTTAAAGTGTGTGTGCATTCTTTGGGGACACCCTGTGCATTGCAGGTTATTTTATATTCCCTCTGCCTGTTTGTTAATTAATTTTGGTGGTTGACCATATAAAAGGCCAGCTTACTTGCCTGGTAGAGTTTTTAGATTCTCTGCAGACCTCAGAGAGTGTGATGTGGTGGCAAGAAGGAAGGCCAGAAGTTAAGGCAGGATGGTCGAACTTTGGCCCCGGCGCTGGCACCCTTCCCGTCGAGGCCTGGTTTGGTCTCTGTGGGCATGACTGGCTAGTGCTCAGGTTGGTCTTAACTTCTCCCTCCTTGTTTGAGCCCAAGTCAAAGAGGGGCTCCCCTGTGACCGAGTCCCTCGGTTTTGCGGGTCCTTTTCTGTTCGTCCTTCGAGCGTGGTTATCGAGAAGCGTCTCGGACCCACCTCCCCGCTGGCTGGGCTTCTGGAGGGCAAGGACCTGCCTGGATGCTGAGTGAACGTTTTCTGGAATTAGCCTTCGCACCCATCTTTGAAGGATCTCCTTAAAAACAGGCGTCTACGTGAAGAGAGTGAGCTAGCCCACAATAACTCTCTGTTAAAAATGGGTTGTATTTTTATGTGAATTTGGAAAATACCTGTTACTGGGACCCTTTCTTGGAGACTCAGGGTGCCATCAGCATAACCGAAGCTCTGACGTGCTCTGCAGTGAATCACGTTTAGTTCTGCCCTTGCTCAGGGTTTTCCAAACTGATTGGCGCTGAGACCCGATGTAACATACAGCATCTGCCCACCGTCCTGTTGCCCGGCTTTGAATCCCTGCAGTGGCTGGTTCGATCGACCTGTCTTTTCCCACCCTCTTAGGTCAGGTTCTTCCATCACAGGGGTGAAGGGCGTTCTCAGGGGTGAAGGGCATTCTCGGGGGTGAAGGTCATTCTCCAGTGTGAAGGGCATTCTCAGGGGTGAAGGGCATTCTCCGGGGTGAAGGCATTCTCGGGGGTGAAGGGCATTCTCCGGTGTGAAGGGCATTCTCAGGGGTGAAGGTCATTCTCAGGGGTGAAGGTCATTCTCCAGTGTGAAGGGCATTCTCAGGGGTGAAGGACATTCTCAGGGGTGAAGGTCATTCTCCAGTGTGAAGGGCATTCTCAGGGGTGAAGGACATTCTCAGGGGTGAAGGTCATTCTCCAGTGTGAAGGGCATTCTCAGGGGTGAAGGACATTCTCAGGGGTGAAGGTCATTCTCCAGTGTGAAGGGCATTCTCAGGGGTGAAGGACATTCTCAGGGGTGAAGGTCATTCTCCAGTGTGAAGGGCATTCTCAGGGGTGAAGGACATTCTCAGGGGTGAAGGTCATTCTCCAGTGTGAAGGGCATTCTCAGGGGTGAAGGACATTCTCAGGGGTGAAGGTCATTCTCCAGTGTGAAGGGCATTCTCAGGGGTGAAGGACATTCTCAGGGGTGAAGGTCATTCTCCAGTGTGAAGGGCATTCTCAGGGGTGAAGGACATTCTCAGGGGTGAAGGTCATTCTCAGGGGTGAAGGTCATTCTCGGGGGTGAAGGTCATTCTCGGGGGTGAAGGGCATTCTCGGGGGTGAAGGGCATTCTCGGGGGTGAAGGGCATTCTCGGGGGTGAAGGGCGTTCTCGGGGGTGAAGGGCGTTCTCGGGGGTGAAGGGCATTCTCAGGGGTGAAGGGCGTTCTCGGGGGTGAAGGGCATTCTCAGGTGGTACTTCAGCAGCTCCCTCGCTGGTGGCCTCGCATCTTACTGGTGCTGGACGTTCCCTGAGGCCTCGCGGGCCTGGCTGCCAGGACACCACACTGCTGCATGTCCCCGCTAGTGAAACAGACTCTCTCCGGACAGAAGGGGCCATTTCAAGGGCTGGTTTTCGAAACTCATCCAGGCTGAGGGCCTCG